CAGTTCTACACCTGTAAAGCTCACTCGCATGTTCTCTCTTTCCCTTGCTCCTCTCTCTCTCTCTCTCTCTCTCTCTCTCACTCACTCTCTCTCTCTTACTCTCTCTCTCTTACTCTCTCTTTTACTCTCTCTCTTACTCTCTCTCTCTCTCTCTTTCCCTTGCTCCTCTCTCTCTCTCACTCTCTCTCTGTCTCTCTCCCTTACTCTCTCTCTCTCTCTCTCTCTCTCTCGGTCGTTCATACATACTATCCCGCTCACTCTTGCTTTCTCTTCTTTCTTTCCCTCGTCCCGCAAGAACAGCGAGTACAGTAACTCGAACTTAAAGCACATTCAAATATTGAACATCGGCACGAGAGAGCCATACCGAAACTCAACACTCCGCTACTGAGACAGACGCAACATGGGATGAAAACTGTAAGAGTAGAAGGAGATTTTGCAACAAATACAAAATGGAGAGGGTGTAAAGAGGTTATGAGAGGCTGGTTTTATCTTTTTTTAGTAGAAGTTTTACGGCGCTCGCAACTGCATAAGGTCATATTATGAGCGCCTCATGAGAGGATGTAAGTATAAACTGCCTAAACACACTTAGTTTTTGTCAGATGTAGACCTGTAAAAGGAAGCGACTGAATTGTAGTGGAGCTAGGGGGAGGGGCAAGGGGGGGGAATAACAATATAGAAAAGAGAAGAAACAAAGAAGAAAGAAAAGCTAAGAGCAGCAGTTCATCTACAAAAGCAGTTTGGTGTTGATAATGGCATGTTTGCTGCTATCCCGACACCTGTTAGCACATTGTAAACCATATTGTTTTTTATTTCAATTATTGACAAAATGTAGGCTGCGTAAAAAAAAAAACCTGGCTGTCTCGACTTTGATATGCAGGGCAAAACAGGGGTTTTGTCACATGCAGCGTCAAAAAAAAGATGGATATACTAGACAAAATATGAGCCGTGCAGACAAAATGAGTTACTTCTCGTAATCCAAGAATGGACATATCGGTTAAAAAGTGGCAAAGGGGTGAAAGTTTTTCAACGAACACAATTTTCTTCAAGTTTCACTTTTCTGTTGTCCTTACTGTACAAAATCAAACTATAAATTTGACATTTCTATGTCCATAGGGCTAAAGTCCAAGGTTTTTAAAAAGTTTTGTAGGCACGCCTAACAAATAGATTTCGCCTGGCGGGAAAAAGACTCATGTCGTTCGAGTGTAAGGCAAATACACATAATGTACATGTTAGCCATTGCACCAATGACGCAAGTATGCCCACTAAAAAGGGACAAATTGTTGTGCTAGTTAACCGGCAATCGTTTTGATTCCTCCTCAGATATTTGGTTTTTCTCCCTTTCTTAGTGCCTGGGCTGCCCCATATGACGTCATTTGGCTCATTTTGTGCGTCTGTCTGCTAGGCCCTATCAGCTATTCCGAGGTACCCAATCCCTTTGATCTCAGAGGTCTGTTGGAATAGCATTTAAAGAGCAAATATAGGGCTACGTCTGCAGCGCGTAGAGTAATTACTAATTGGGTATACGACGCAACCTAAAATATCACCAGCGTGGGTCGTGTTATGGTTAGAATCTTCCCTGCAGCATTAAAAAAAGAGATGACTTCAATTCCTATGTATGACAGTCTAATAATATATTAAATAAAATTCTCAATCTCTCAGGGGATATGTGTCCTACTCAACCCGGATGACCCAGACAGACAGACAGACAGACAGGGTTGGAGCAGCTAGCCTCTAAACAATCTATGAAGCGTCAATATGGAGGAATGAAATTACCAATCTAGTTGAGTAAATTGTTGAAGAGGAACATATTGCCTAATTTTAAAAGAACATTATGTAATTGTGTGACGTGCGTGCTGGCAAAATTAATAACTTCTTGGATTTCAGCACAATGGGCATAGATATGTCAAATCTATAGTTTGAGTTTGTACGATCTATTAGTAGGAACGGACAAAAGACAAGTGAAACTTATAGAAAAAGGCATCAATTGATCTTCTGCAACTTTCACTCCTATGTCAATTTTCAACCGACATCTCCTCATTTGAGGACTACTATAAGTAACAAATTTTGTCTGCATGCTTCACAATTAGTAGAGTTAATTAGCATTGAATGGGTTTTTTACAGCATTGTGTGAAAAATTTTCAGTAAAACATAATCCCCAAAAAATGCCATAAGTCTGCCTCAGACATACAACGTTTCGTGCGCTCAGTACCTAGTTATGAGAAACTCGACGTCAAATATATTAGAGTTTCATATCATGTCAAGCTTTTTCAAATGCAATTTTTAAAATTTTATCTTCATAACGGAACCGTATAATATTACGATTTTTGATAGAGTAGATAGACCATTTCGTTTGTTGGTTTTTTGGTTTTTTTTAACCTTATGGTAACTCAAAACGGCTAAAAATGTTAGAATAAAAACTTGGTAATTCAAGTGTATCTATAAGTTCAGTCTGTATTACCTTTCCGACAAGATCCGCCCATGTGGTAGCCTGCTCCTCGCCTTGTTGCTGCTGTTGCTGTTCCATTGTGCTGTTGGATTCAAGCTGTTCTCACCGAGAGATGAAGTAGGATGAGGCAGAAGTCTGCTTGAGATGACGGGTAGGCAGGGAAGTGTCCAGAAGACAGGAGTCTCCTCACTTTTTAACAGACCCGAGCCCGATACGATTCGCGCCAAAACCAACTTTCCAGACGGGTGGATTGTCACGTGGTCGAGCTCAAATGACATGGAGGCTACGCATCTCGTAAATACCGTGTGTAAAATGTTTACTTACAAAACACGCCTTTAAGTTAAGGTTCATTAATGACCCTTTTCATATACATTTAAGTCGTTCTTTTATTAACGCTTTGACAGAGGAAGAAGCCGTGATCTTCGTCTAGAAAAGGTACTCTTAGAGCGTTATAATATATCAAGTGACGTGTTTACAGTGGTTGCGAAGTTTGAAGTTTGAGATCTGCGTGTGGTTTGGTCTTGTTGACTTTTGCAGAGTGGGTCTTTCCTGCTCTACCTGTCTGTTTGATCACCTACTCTTTTTTTTTTCTTTCCTTCCTGTCTTTCAGTTCAGTTCATTGAGGAGATAAGAAGGACAAAAATGTGAGGGCAGATAAGCTGAGACGAAACCTTGGCGGGAGAGTATAATATTGGTTTAAGATGAGGCAATTCTGTTTGAGTGCGTGTGTGTGTGTGTACGTGTGTGTGTGTG